GTAGACTTTGTCATCAGTTGCTCTTCTCCTATCCTTCCTATACTTTGCAACCCCCACTGAGACTCTTCTCCCATCTATCAATGTGCCATTGACATTCTGAATCGCTCTTCTACAACCTTCCTCCTTCGCATATTGCACAAAGGCAAAAGTCGATAACTTATAATTTGGTTTCACCATAAAACTTGGGATAAAAATCCTTATAACACGACCGTACATATCAAAGATCTCTTAACCTCTCTTCTAGAAACTCTCTTACTAAGATTATCTATGAAAACAGTCCATTCCTTATTGGAAGAAGAACGAACTGTCTCAAGCTCTCTATTTCTCTCTCTACCAGTCTCACTCATGATTCAAGCACACGCTGTTCACAATTTGTATTAGGAAGAATGTGGGTGGTCTGAAACTGGTAGATTTACCTGGGCTTCCTATAAGCTTAACTCTGATAATTATGTTTCTTCAAGTTAGCATTGACAGTTATTTTTTGTGTGTTTATCGAGTTTCAAGTAAACTTTTTCCATGTTACAACTTGCTAGAAATTTCAGATAGTTCGTACATTTGTAGTTTAAAGTTTACCTAATCAAATTAATGTAAAATCCTTATAGAACAATTAGGACTAAAAATAATATTTATTAATTTATTAATGTCAACTTCCAAGAATACAGAATTAATCTTATTTAATTTTAAATTTACTTCCATTTATATCTTCCATGTCATACAAAGAAAGAAACCATGGATCACACATATAACAAAAAGACAACATAGGTCTAACTTTTTAAGATAAGGAAGAGGGAGAGAGAGAGAGAGAGAGCAAAATTTTAAAAAATAAAGAATAGTTCAGAATGCATACACATGCTGACTGAACATAACCTTCTGTGAAGGTATCAACAAAGATGAAAGTCCATCCTGGAGAGCCTTTAGGTCCAATGGCAACCTTTTAATATCTTTAACTTTCTGTCGCCATGAAAAAAAGAAGAAATTTAGTATTTTATCAAATGATCCTTGGGAACTTTCCCCATATATCATACCTCCTTTGTAATGAAAAACAATTGATACGATATCTTCTCATAATAATGGAAAGCGCCATCAGCAACTGAAGGGGATATAATGTGTCTCACAGATCCCCATAGAGTCGCACCAAGATGTCCAAGAAAAGCATCCCGAGCAACAGTGTAGTTCTGGAATTCCTGCAAAAGTTTGATTTCAAGACAAATATAGTTTGAATAGCAATGTGATTGCTATAGATGATCCCTACAAGTACTGAAGAAAATGTTATCCCGATATCTTTCAAGGAAATAAAGATACCTCAACAGTATCACTAAACAAATTCCAGTTCTCCATCCGTTTTAAAGCATCTACAGCCTTCCTACGGTGGCTTTCATCATGCTCTTCATTTTCAAATGACTGAAGCTCATCTTTCAAATCCCGCATTCTCTCGTCAAGCTCTGAAATAATAAATCTTATAAGTGGAGAAACTTACCCCATATTTTTCATTAGGAACTTGCAGAACATAAAATTGCTAAGCACTTCATATCTCACACAAAAACAATATTAAAATTAAAAAGATACTGATTATCAATAAAACAATTATATTAGATGTTCCCAGACCGACAAATAAACAGACAACCTAGTTGATTAAACAAATATGTGAGAAACATTGAGGCAGTTGAAATCTCAAAGAACGATTCCACCCTTCAGATTATACATTGTTCCTCTGTAACAGAAAAACAAGTGACTCAAAAGCAAAGATTCCATTGCAAAAACATGAGTCAACAATAAATCTTCAATGTAACAAACCTTAACACTAACCAACCATACTAATAACCTCTGTTGTTTTGACTCTTCATGTTCCTCAAACCATCTCCGCCAGATACATATTCAACACCTCAAACTGGACACTAGTAGGAGGTATGGCCCTCCAAATATAAGGAAATCATAGGATAATGTCCCCCGTCCAAGCAAAATACACTATGAATCTCTTGGCAGCTTTCCCAAGAAGTGGAACTAGAAATAGAAAATTAGAAATGCAAAATAGAAATAACATGAATCATACCATCACATAGAGCGAGCTTGACTTTCCTTCCTTTGCAATGCTTGAAAGCAAAAAGCTCATAGATATCAATCTCTGCTAGAAGAATATCAATTGCCTGATGATCCTTCTACAATATCAAATGCAGAGCCAATTAAAGCAGGAAACTGCATAAACCTAGTAGAAAGAGAAGCTTTAAATGCATAGCATCATTGCTTCAATTGCCAATGTATAAGCAAACATACATCACCAAATACAGAAAACTTTTCCTGAATTGCATCTTGCAAGCGATCTTCAGCTTCAGCTTCAGAAATTTCTACATATCACAATAAGAACAAAATTAAATTCAGCTAGGGCTGGGGGGACAACAACAATAATAAAAGCAAAAGCAATATGAGATGAAAAGAGCAATATTGTAAAATCTAGAGACATTTGACACGAGTTTATAAATATTTTACAGATCACAATTAAATAAGCCAATCATCACAAAAATATAATTTTGAAGCCAGTATTATGAGTGAGAAAGTTAGTGAGAGAGTGAACGTGGCGCTTGGTTCTGATCCTTCAGGCAGAGAGGGAGTACTGTCTGGAGATGGAGCATGGGTAGCTTTCATAGACTATCTTAGTAGGAGAGTTCATAGAAGTGTTTTATGGGAGCGTTTTAGTTACTTTGGCAAGGTGACCAAAGTGTTCATTCCGTTCGTTAATAGGAGGCCAAAGTATAAGGACTATACATTCGCTTTTGTGCATTTTGCTAGCAAGGAGGATCTGTTCAATGCAAAGGATAGGATGAATAACGTTGTGGTAGATGGTCGGAAAATATCGGTGTCGATTGCAAAATACCAGAAGAGAAGATATCCGACGAGTCGAGAGCGAGATACCGGTGTGGGGTCTGCAGCGGTCAGAGAAGTGGAGTCGCGCGGAAAGAGATCAATAGGCCAAGTTGAGGCAAGAAGGAGGGAGTTGCTTAGCAAATTTCATGATGGAAGATCTTATAAGGATTCGGTAGTGGGAAGGGTTGTTTCGGAGGGTCAACAGAGGAATAGCGGGGGAGGTTCGATGGAGGTTAAGAAGTCGTTGGAAGTGCATATCCCATCGGAAGAAAGAACTTGGTTAAGATCATCTCTAACTGGCATATGCAAACAGATGTTTGAAGTGGAGCTTGTGCAGAGAGGTTTAAGGACTGAGGGTTTTAATGTCAAGGTGGTAAGATGGGGATATGCGAAAAATGCATGTCTGATCGTTTTTCAGTCGGAGGAAGAGAAAATCGCAGCGGTGGAAGACAAATGGGAGGCATTGTCCTTCTGGTTTGAAAGGCTGGAGCCTGTCTTGGAGACAAAGGGTTTCCTTTATCTTACTGTGCTGTGTCCTTGATGGGTGTCCCTCTAAATTGCTGGTCAGTGCCATTTTTTTCTAGTTTGGCTGCAAGATGGGGCAAGCTAGTAAAAATCCAGGATCAAACAGCTCAAAGAGTGGACTGTAGGGTGGCGCGTATGTTGTTAAGAGTGGAAAGCCCGTTTGATATACCGTCCCAGGAAATCATTAATACTTATGGTAGATCCTTTATTATTAAGATTAAAGTGGAAGGTTGTGATGAGTTCTTTCCTGAGCTAGATGATGGGGTTGTTGATGGTGGGGTAGAAGATGGTGGTTCTGTGGGAGGTCGAGTCATCCCGGGGGCAGAAACTCGATCGGAAGGGATCAAAGGGTCAGATGGAGAAGATCTGCAAGGACAGTTGAATTTCCAGTTGATGTCAGGTGCAGCTCATGGGGCTGGCACGAGGATTGATGGCAATTTGAATTTTAACATGGAAGTCAATAATATTATAGGAGCTGACCACTGTGTTGAGGGGACAGTACTAGGTGAGACGAAAAGCAAGCAGATTGTGTCAGAGTTTCCTGCTGCTGAGAGAAAAAGGGTGTTCAGCGTGGAAGATGGTACCTCGGGACAAGAGAAAGGAGTCAAAGATTATGGGACTACTTCTATAATGGGTAGATCTGAGGAGGTTGGGCCTGAGCAGTATGGGTTTGTTCCTTCAGCCCAGTGTTGTCCTGTGGATAATGAAAAGAATTTTCAGGACCAAATACTATCTGATTCTTATGAGGAAAACAGCAGTATCAGGGTGGAGGAGGTGATTGATAATAGCAAGGAATGTGAGGTTTTGGATAGGGGTAAAAAAGGTAGCAAATCTAAGAAGGCTATTAGTAATCCGATGGTGAAGAGTTGCAAGAGATGGAGATTGGGATATCAGGTTTCGAAAGGCCTGTCAACCAGTAAGACCTCTACAAGTTTGAGGGGTTGTGGACGTTTTGATAGGGTGTACAGAAGGTCGAAAACAAGAATAGTTTGGCTTTGTTAAGAGGTGAGTCACAGACACATTCAGAACAGGATGGTTCTTCATAATTTCAAACAATGTTCTTCAGCTTCAGGGGATAGGGGTCAGGAAAAGGATTCAATCGGCTCTGCCCTAGATCAGAATACTTCCCCGGGGCACATTAATAGCAGTCTGCCTCCAATTAGGGGGGTGGTAGATCCGTTTATTATTTCAAGGAATAGGAGATTATACAGAAAGAAGAGAAGAGGACTAATCTCAGAAGCTCTAGCCAATGCAGAAGTTTCTACAGTCTACTCTAGTTCTTTCTCTAATGTTCTTGAGGAAGCATTGAGTACTTGGGAAGTATGTCAGAGATTAGGCATTTCTTTCAAGAAAGGGAGGGAGGCTTTTATGGATAAAATTAGAAAGATGGAGGAAGGTGTAGGGGGGATGGATGAAGCTGGTCTGTAAGCCAGTTTCAGTTTCTCGAAGGTTTGGGATTGAAGTGTTTATGATGGAGTGTAATATTATTTCGTGGAATGTTAGGGCTTAGGAAGAAAGGAAAAGATTAGAGGGGTGTCGAGACTTGTTAATAAGGTCAAACCGATTGTTTTGTTTTTACAGGAGACAAAACTGAGTAAAAGGCAGAAGGGACTTAATCGAAGGTTAGGAGGTAAGCTGTTGAAGGGATTAAGTTTTCAACCAACGGAGGGGTCTGCGGGTGGACTGATGTGTCTGTGGAATGAAGATGCTTATGAGGTAAATGAGATGTTTAATCACAGTAGATTTCAGGTGTTAATAGGGAAGTTCAAGGTGTCTAAGGTGGAGTGTGTTTTTATCAATGTGTACGGTCCTTCTGCTGAAGAAGATAAGGAGTTTTTCACGCAATTGTTGGGTTATGTTCTCAAGGTTGATCTGCCACTCTGCATTGGTGGAGATTTTAATGCATATCTCGAACAAGAGGAGAAGATAGGTGCATCACAAAATTGGCATTCAATGGGTCTACTAAGGAATTTCCTCCAACAGTCAAACCTACTAGACTTACCAATGGTAGGTGGCTCGTTCACTTGGGGTAGTAATAGAGAAAGTGCCACTTGGGTAAGGCTTGATCGTTTCTTATTAAGTACTAGCTTCTTAAGATGCTTCCCCAAGTCGGTTCAGAAGTTGCTACCTAGATCCCTTTCTGATCATAACCCGATTCTATTGGTTGAAGATGGGAAGAACTGGGGACCTAAACCCTTTCGTTTTTTTAATTATATGTTGGAGGAAGAAGGCTTCGTAGATATGGTTCAAAATGCAATGTCAGATCGGAACGATGATAGAGGGGGAAGAGAAATGTTCGGTTTATTACGAAGTACTAAAAAGCGTATTAAGGATTGGCCAACCAGAAATAAACAGGGGATATCTGAAGATATTACGAGGTTGGAGCGCAAAATAAATGACTTGGAAATTAAGGCGCAAAGTGGTGGGCTATCCAGTTTGGACTGGGAACAGCTTCTTTCATCCAGGAAAGAGCTTTGGAAAATGCACAGAATTGAGGAAAGGATATGATGTCAACTGTCGAGGCAGAAATGGATCAAAGATGGTGACAGAAACACTAGGTTCTTTCAAATATGTGCTGTAAACAGAAACAGATTGAACACTATTTCGGCATTGAAAGTGGATGGTGAGGTGATAACAGATCCAGAGTTGATTAAAGTCCATGTTTCTCAGTTCTTTAAGAAAGCTTTTAATTCCAAAGATTTTTTAGAGGTGGAGAACTTAAATCTAAATTTTGATAAATTGAGAGGAGAACAGAGGATTAGTTTGGAGACTATGTTTTCAGAGGAGGAAGTAAGGGAGGCTATTTTCTCTTCGGACAGTTCGAAAGCCCCAGGTCCAGACGGCTTTACAATGGGTTTTTACAAGAAGTTCTGGCCAACTTTGAAGGGACAACTTATGAAGTTTGTGGAGGATTTCTATTATGGGAGAAAATGGGACCATGGTGTCAATCACGCGTTCATTTCTCTGATTCCAAAGAGAAACAATCCGAATGCATTGAGGACTATATACCTATAAGTCTAGTTGGCAGTCTCTACAAAATCATCTCCAAAGTCTTAGCTAGAAGACTAGTTTCAGTGATTCAAGATATTGTAAACCCTTCACAGTTCGCATTTATTCCGGGGAGACAACTTCTTGATTGTGCTTTTATTGCAAACGAAGGTATAGACTGCTGGAGGAAGAAAGGGCTGAAAGGGGTGGTTTTCAAAGCTGATTTTCAGAGGGCGTATGACTCGGTTGAATGGCCATTATTTTCAGATTATTGAGAGTCATGGGCTTTGGGGACAGATGGGTTTCATGGAAAATGTTGCCTCTCAACGGCGACAATATCGGTACTAGTGAATGGATCTCCTACAGAGGAGTTCTCGATGGGTAAAGGGCTGAGACAAGGATGTAGTTTGTCTCCTCTATTGTTCAATATAGTGGGGGAACTGTTAAATCGCATGTTATTAAAAGCGGCGGATGTGGGACTTTTTCAGGGTTTTGCTTTTGGAAGTTCGGATGCCCTTAGTTTAACTCACCTACAGTTTGCTGATGACCTGATTCTGTTTTGCCGAGAATCATCTACTTACATTCAGAATATTAAGAGAGTCCTGAGGATTTTCAGCATAATGACTGGACTTCATCTGAATTTGTCGAAGAGTAATTTGTATGGGATTAATGTGGAGGTTGAGACATTAAATGAATGGGCGAAAGAGACTGGTTGTGCCGTTGGAGTACTGCCAACAGTATATTTAGGTCTACCATTAGGAGCAAAAAGAAACTCCGAGGCTTTGTGGGAGCCAGTTATGCAAAGTTTTAGAAAGAAGTTATCCGGATGGAAAGCTTCTACATTATCTATGGCAGGCAGATTAGTGCTGATTAAATCTGTTTTATCATCTCTACCAATTTTTTTCCTCTCTATTTTCAGGATGCCGAGTAAGGTTTATAGGAAGCTTAACTCTATTATGGCAAACTTTTTGTAGGGGAGGGTCCTTTAAAGGGCCGAATTCACTGGGTGAATTGGAAAAGGGTCTGTCAACCTTTAGAGGAAGGTGGTTTGGGAATCTTGGATTTGAATTTCGCCAATAGAGTGCTGCTAGGTAAATGGGTGTGGAAGTTCGCAAATGAAAAAGACTCACTTTGGAAGAACATGATTTGCAGCAGACATAATGTGAGCATCCAGTCCTTAGAACTCAGCAAGGCAGTCTCTCCATCGGATTCTTGGATATGGAAGGGTATTACAAAGAATTTTTTGGCAGAGGACGAAATTGGATATGGTTTGAGATCTCACTCGAAGATTCAAATTGGCAATGGAAAGTCGATTGATTTCTGGCATGATGTGTGGCTAAACGAGGATTCCTTAAAGAATCAATTTCCAAGGATTTACGCTCTTTCTAATAATAAGTGGGGTAAAGTTTCAGAGTTTGGCAGTCTAATGAGGAACAAATGGATTTGGAACATTCAGACGAGGAGGAATCTCTGCGATTGGGAGTTGGATCACTGGATTCTCTTGATGTCATTATTGGAGAATGTCGGTCTCTCGGATTCGGTGGAAGATTTTCTGGTATGGTCGGGGAAGGGAGATGGATTGTTCACTGCTAAAGCTTGCAGGTTGACCCTTTCTTCCAACTCAGGGGGTAATTTCATGTGGAAAAGGTTTGTTTGGTCAGGTTTGGCTCCTCCTAGGGTCGAAACCTTTCTTTGGCAGGTTGCTCATCAAAGATTTGCAGTTAGAACGGAGTTGATTAGAAGAGGAGTTCTTTTAGAGGAGGTCTTTTATCCTTTTTGTGCTAAACAGGAGGAAACAGTTCAGCATTTGTTCATATCGTGTTTGGTTGCATGGGACGTATGGAGCAAGTTCTGGAGGTTATGGGGAGTCTCGTCTGTGTTGCCTAAAGATCCAGTCTCTTTGCTGTGTTCTTGGTCGGACTTAAGGCCTAAGTCAATTATATGGAGCCTTATTCCGGGGGTAGTTCTATGGTCATTATGGAAGGCTAGAAACTCGGTGGTTTTTGAAGATTGGAAACTGGACAGAGATACTCTTTTCTTCATATGCAGATTCAGATTGGTTAAATGGTTCCTAGCCAAGTATCCGAATGTTTCCATTCAGGTTGACTCTCTTGTAGGGGATCCTACACTTGCAGATAAGCATCAGAGTAGTGACCATAAAAGGATGAAGGTGCAGGGATGGAGTCCTCCTCCACTTCATTTTTTTAAAGTTAATGTTGATGGGGCAGTTAGTGGGGATGGGCTGCTGGGGGGTATTGGGGGCATTTTAAGAGACTCGGATAGTAAAATTCTAGGGTCTTTCTCGCACGCTGTTGGTCCAGGTCCCCCCCCACTCGCTGAGCTGAAAGCCATTGAGAAAGGCATTGATTTCTTCCTTTCGACGGATTGGGCATTGGAAGGAAGGTTAATTATAGAAAGTGATTGTAAGTCAGTGGTGGATTGGATTTTGTTGCCGACTTCATCTCCTCGTTTTCTTAGTTCGTTGGTTCAAAAAAATTGCTTCCATAATCTTGGAGAGGGAAATCATTATTAGACATATCCCGAGGAGTTGTAATTGTGAGGCTGATTCTCTAGCTAAACAGGGGATTGGATGAATATTATTAAGTGTCATAGAGGTTTTCTAGCAGGTTCTTGGTCTATTAAGGCTGAAGGGGCTGGGAAAGTTTTGTTATTGTTTAAGGAAGGTTTGGTCGGTTAGGGAGTTTTGTTTAAATATTATGTAATTTTTATGGCTTTGTCAGTGTGTCTTGGTTGTATTTTATGTAATGAGTCCCTGATCAATAAAATCCTAAGGCACTCTTTTCCTCCCTCCAATGATTAAGGAACTTTCCCAAGAATTCCTTTAATCAAGAAGGGGGTTTTTAATGAGGCCTGTAATTTCTATCAAAAAAAAATCACAAAAATATCAAGCATAATAAGAACAAAAAAATTGACTAAATTTCTGTAGCCATAATAAACAAATATATCAACATTGACAAGAGAAAATCCAATATTAAAAATAACCATACTAAGTTACTAGCAACAAAATAACCACCAAAGATGTCAAATAATTTACTAACAAGTGATAATAACCGAGCATGATAATATCACCTTCGACAGCACCTATAGTCTTTCCCACATTAGGCAAACTTAATTCAGTTCTAACACCTTCTCCACCAACAGCAGGTCCCCAGGAAAAAGGTCCAGCAGATAAATCAATGAAAGCCCATCTGATACAGTTATAATTAAAATATAAACACAAATATGAGCCTCCTTTGTTTGTGTTTCTCTGTGTACCGCAGCAAAAATGAAAGAGAGAAAGAGAGGGGGAAGACATGATATTTGAATTTGAAACCTGTCCTTTCCAATCCATGTATCTGTTAGACATTCTTCATGGTAGTCACTGAAGTCCCCCAACTTTAAGTCCCTTTGAAGAAGAAGCTTTGTATCTTCATTCTTCCCATTTAATAACTTGAGGTATCATAAATATATTAACAAAAGGTAAGTGTTATACAAATTACACAGATTTGTCAAATTCTAACTCATCTTTATAATGCATAAAACAGAATAGATGCGAAAAACAAAGCCAAGTACCTGTAGAACTTTGTTCTGAATTATTTCAGTAGTATTCTTTCCTTGATACAATTTCTCGACATCCATCAGTGCATCTAAGCAAATATTGTGCCATTCCTCCTAAAAGTTTATCAACCAAATTTAAAGTAAATAAAGTAAATAAAAATAATAGAAATAACTGAGGCTCCAAGTAGTTTCTTTGTGAGCAACAAGACAACATAACACATACAATGATTTACTCTTAACAAACAGAAAATATGAATTTAAATTTCTAGCATACTTTTCACTGTATATATTCAGCTATCAACACTAAGAATCCGGTACTACAAGTTTACAGGAAATAGCTGAGATTACCAAGTTAAAGTCTAAGGATCGAAGATCAAGTTATGGTCATGACCAGGAGAGCATATCACCTACAATTACTATTTTACAATTACCCAATCACAATCCAGAATTGTGTAGGTCCAGTGAAGATAATAATGTGGAACCCTACATGATACTGTGTTGTGATTGGATAATTGCATCATTGTAGTAGCAAAAAAATTGTTTATTTCGGGTGGTATTATGTCATCTGTAATCTTATGTAAGTTTGGTTTATTAATATATAGGGGTACTCTTTTCCTCCTTTGCTAGTTGCCTCTTCACAAGAGCCAACGATGAGGGAGGTTTTTAATGAGGCCCCCTATTCTTATCAAAAAAATGATATCCACAATAACACAATAAAAAGAATCAGGGAAGAACAAGTAGTTACAGTGCAGGGACTCGTAGAGCAAGTTCGCAATCCATGTGCTCAGATAAACGTATAAAAGTAAAATTAACCGCACAAATACATTTCATTAGGGAAAGGGGCACACCGTATCAGTTTCGTCTGTAACTGTCCATGAAAACTTTGCCATTGGATGCTTTCCATACAAGGGTTTCTTCATGTTATCAAGAGCTGCAATTATTCATCAATCAAATATATTAATTCTAGAAAATAAACAGGAAAAAACTAGCAAGAATCCCAACAGCTAAAAGAAACAGTCAAGTCAATACCAAGAACACTTGCTGGAACACTCCGTGACTGAAGAATTTTAGTTTGCAGACCCTTATCCTGAAAAACAAGAGTTTAAGTAAAGCAGGATTTCAAATATGAATGTACAGGGGAAAACGGTATCAGGGCACCAAGTATTCTGCCACAAATTTACCAAGCCAGAAAAGGAATTAGCATTTAACACTTACAGAAATATATTTTATATTCTAAAATAAAACTGAAAACTGATAATTTTTTTGAAACATTCCTGAAACCAATACTTAATAAACAAAGAGAATAGCAACAGTAAAATGTATAGCAACAAAGAAACACATTCGTACCTCTTTGAGTAGAGTTATTTCTGACTCGGATAAACCTCTCCTGCCAATTTATATTTTTTAAATTAAGACTTCAAGAAAGAAACAGAAAACAATTAAAAAAGCTGAATAATTTGATGAATAAATAAATCATTCCAAAAGACATGCACCCATTGCGCAGCAAGAGTGGATGAGGAAACAAATTTAAAGAATCATAAATTCCACAACATGAATTTTAGGCAAAACAAGCATCAAACAATTCTAGTAATAAACCAAAGGATTGCTTTTGAGCAATTGGACCATCCTTCACAACTAAAATTGATTTTCCAGGTCATCAATAATTATATGTTAAACAGATGTCTTAGTTCAGAAATCTAGATTAAGAAAAATACTTTCCACTCTATATTATATAGCCTGCTGCAATATAAAAAAACCTACAAGGTAGGACAACACTAGTTATGTTGGAAGTTAAAATTAACAGAAATTTGCATCACTTACAAGGTGAGAACCATGAAATGTTAAGAGAAATAGCTAGAACTAAAAAGGCAGAAGTTTGGAGCAATAGTTCGTGCAGATGGTCTTACAACTTTGGTTTTGCTTGTCCTAAAACCATAAAGGAAAAAGAATAATATTAAAAGAAATCTTCTTACTAAAAAACGCACCGGTAGCCATATTTAGCTATTCTTGAATCACGGCGAGGATTCAAAATGAAGATGTTATATGCATCTTCAAGCTGAAGGTATTCAACAAGGCTAGCGAAAAGAACATCCATCATGTCTGCATCTACTTGCCAAAGAGAATCAGTGTCATTCCTGTCAAGAATGAACCATATTATTACTGAATAAAGCTAAAGACGTGAGATTAAAACAAAGCGGCAAAAAGCAACAGCAACAACAACAACCAAATAAGAACTTGAAGATTCATTCAACAGTCTAATAGAGAACGGTATGCACGAGGAGACTACCGAGGTAGAACATTTACTTGTAGAAAGTTTTTATCAAAATTTTCAATCATTGAACATTTTCTTCCAATCAAGATCTGAAGCATCTTCAAAAACATGTTAAACAGAAGAGGATCTAAACATGAATATGCCACACATTGTAGAACAGTACTAGATTTGGTCCAAATGGTGTAACAAAACAAGTGACTTCCATCGATAAGTCCTCCTATAAGTTTATATATGCATCAAGAAGGCAACAATCTATAATTTTATTTCCTCAATCTCCAAAAACAATAAAAGAGAATTTGGGTCATGACTGGCTTCACCTGACATTTGATACATCATCTTTGCGGGCTAGAACATTGATGGCACGCTCAAAGACAGAAGTCACATGTTCATTCATTCGAATGGCATGGACAGAGAAACTGCAGAGAAATTCCATTACATTGATATCAAAATCTTAATTTAAGAGTATCTATAGAATAAATCACGACAGCATGTATATAGATCATCAACATATTAATATTAAAGCTCACAAACAGAAACAATGTATTACTTGTAATTTATATGACTTATTATTGGAAGATGCTGATGTTGCTTTTTATCTATGATAACTCTGTCAAATCCAGTGATGATTTCTCCAATTTGAGGAACTCGTGTATGTGCAAAGATGTGATCTATTTTGGTGAACCATCGCTCAAGCTCTTCTGCTTTTAGATTGAACTCTATTTATAAACAAACAAAAAAAGTGATCAAGGAAATAACCTATAAGAATTCAAGTATTACTAAAATGAAATTTTAAAAACAAAACAAAAAATAGTAGGCGAGGAAATACAATAAAGTTTTAAATACCTTGGTTCCCCTTTCCATCAAATCCCATGAAAATGAAATTTACAGGAACGGGAAGGTACAGAGAATCCACTTCCATAAGGTTCAGGTAATTCGCAATATTAGCTGAAAATTATGAGAGAGAGATAGTGAACCGAAATGCAATTCTTAAAATTGAAATGTTAGAGCAAATTCATAACCAAATTAACACACAATTTGTTTAGTACCTGCCTTGGTGTAGTTATAAACACCCATTTTAGAAGGGCTGCTTACGTCTAAATCATCAAAATCTGAGAAGAAGAAAATGAGCAGAGTTTTAAGAAATGAACAAACAGAAGCCCATAAAACAAAATCTAGAGAGTAAATTTTAAGGGGGGGGAATGGGTACCTCCACGTATAACGTCCTCACTCCAAAACCTACTTTTTTCCTTAAGATTGAACAAAGAGAAAACCGAAGACGGTGAAGACTTGCCACTCTTACGACTTTCAACAGTGCAATTAGCTACCAACTGATCCATTTCCGTCACCCAAATCAATACACAAAAAACAGTAATAATATCATGAAAAAGAACGGAGCAAATCCTTGCGAAAATTACCAGTAACATCGTTGATACAAGGAGCAGAGATCTAATTCGAGCCATCTCCATTTCCCGAGGATCTTTACCCTCAGATATGAGCCGCAGGCCACACTCTGATTTCCTTTTTGTTCACCCTGACGAGTTTGACAACAAATGGAGAATTTCATCAAAAAGAAAAACGAAAATTGAAGGACATGTCAAATGCAGAGACGGGCAATATGACGCCGGGTTCGGATCCCTCTTCGGTTTGATTATTTGCTTATAAATTAATAATAAGGGTAAACTACTCGTTTAGTACCACAACTATCACTTTTGTTCTGTTTCGTTACTTAACTTTTTTTTAAAATATTTAATATTATGTTTTTATTTTATTTTGGTCATCTATTATTAAAAAATTAATAAAATTACTGACATAATATTTTAACTTTTTTCAATGATAATCTTGCATTATCTTATGTGGATACATCAGAATCGCCATTATTTAATGTATTACCAAAATAAAACAAAAACTAAATATTGTATATATGATTTAAAAGAAAATTTGGGTGACCAAAAATAGAAAAAGTGATGTCTAGGTACTAAACTTGTAGTTTATCCTAATAGTTAAAAGGGTAAAGTACTTATTTAATCATCCAACTATATATTAACATAAGGGTAAACTACACTATTCATTACTCAACTAACTTCTCACTCCTATTTTGATCATTCAAATTTCTAAATTTTTAATTTACTCACTCAACTTTTGAATTACTTTTGTTTTCGTCACTTTATCGTTAAATAAATAACACCGTTATAACGTGACAACCAACACCAAAACGAAGTAGTTTTAGATTCTTATAAAAAAAATCAAAGCTATTTTCCCTCTATTTTTTCTTCGCTTTCTCTATTTATTTATTTCTTTCTTTTTTATTCTTTTTTCTTCTTTGTTCTTTCTTTAACCTCAACACCCCTAAATTTCGATCATTATATTGGTTGTTGTTCTAACCACCGTCATTGGAGTCCAATTGCTCTTAAAATATCACATCAAATGTTTCTCACCATTCTGAAAGCGAATTCAATGTCCATTTAATCAGAAAATATCTCTTAACTCTATAGATCTAATGTTGATACTAATGTCGTCGTACGCCACTATACTCATTGGTCACCATTCGTGTCGGCACATATATCGAGTGAAAGCTTCTCTTCCTTTTCAAACTTCAAGGCAAAATTTTATGAAGATCAAACCAAAAGCTACAATAACTCAAATCAAATGGTTATTATTTGTGTCATTTTTATTTTAGAGCCTCATGTTTACTAAAACTTAAGAACTTAATAATTTTTAAAATTTGTTCAATAGATTAATGAATTGTCGTTATTATAGTAAAGACCGGTTTATTTGGGGTTGTAATGAAAATCATTATTTTAAAAGAGGCGTTAGTGAGAGTATTGTTGAGAGAAATTGTCTAAACTATACTCTCTCCGTCCTATAAAATTTATTTCTTGTTGATTTTTTTAGTTAACTTTTTTTAACTTTGACACGCTATTATTTAAAAAATATTATTGATGAAAAATTAAATAAAAATATTTTGAAAATATTTAATCAAATAAATTTTAAATATATAATTTATAAAATTTAACCATTTAAAAAATTTAAAATAATATGATAAAAGTTTAAAAATTTTAACTTTTAAAAAATTAATAAATGACAGATTTAATGGAATTGGGGGAATAACTATTATGGGACGATAATTGTTACTCTTGTTATAGTTGTTATTAATTATTTTGACCAATTTGCATGTTTCATAGAAGTTTTATGAAACTTGAGTGTAATGACAATTGATGTTTACATGATAATTTAAAAATTAATAAAATAAAAACAATCGAGTGACGAATGATGTAGTTTAATATTTAAAGTTGAGTGAGTAAATTAAAATGTTTTACATTTTAATTATCAAAATAGAAGTGATAAAACAGTTGAATGACAAATGATGTAGTTTATCCTAACATTAAACTGAGCATGGTTATGTGTCGCCTTGTTTTTTTTTTGACTTCAAAAGAGTAAAACCCATACAAAACTCTTGCTCACCCTACCTTTATGCAAATCACCGCCGATGAAGTTCCCAAACCACGTTATACAAAGGAGCCACCACGGCTGCAGGACCTTCGTGGACGGTTCCGCCGCCTCCACCGCCATCAAATTCGTCCGAGACCGCGGCCTAGACCATGCAGTGGAGCGAGAAAAGAATCTTCACCCACTCCTAAACGTCAAAAACCTCATAAAATCGGAGCCATCAAAGTCCCTTCCCATCTCCATAATCTCTCAGCACAAAGATTTACTCAAAATCCCTTATCGCCCCATCGAATTCATCCGCAAGTACCCTTCGGTATTCCACGAATTCCTCCCCGGCGGAATCGCGACCCACCCCCATATCAAGCTTACACAAGAAGTGCTCGACGTCGATGTCGACGAGCATTTGGTTTACGAGAGTGTTTCCTACAGGCAATTAGTAGCTGACAGGCTTTTGAAACTGCTGATGATATCGAGAATGAACAAAATCCCCATCAGCATCCTCAATAAACTGAAATGGGATCTGGGTCTTCCTCAAAATTACTTGAAAACCCTCGTCCCGGAATTCCCCGATTATTTTCGGGTTGTGGGGGCGGATGAATCTGGTCAATTAGAGTTGGTTTGCTGGAGTAAGGAGTTGGCTGTTTCGGTTCTTGAAAAGAAGGCCATGGAAGGAGGTTATGGGTATTCAATGGGGATGCCTTTAGCATTTCCAGTGAAGTTTTCGCCCGGATTCGAGATGGATAAGAAGGTGAAAAAATGGTGGGACGATTGGCAGAAATTGCCTTACGTTTCACCATATGAGAATGCTCTTCTTCTTTCACCTAAAACTGATGAATCCGATAAGTGGTCAGCTGCTGTTTTGCATGAAATTATGAATCTTTTTGTCTCGAAAAAGGCCGAGAGGGATGATGTGCTGTGTCTTGGGGAGTATTTGGGCATAAGGTCGAGGTTCAAGAGAGTTTTGCTTCAGCATCCATTCATTTTTTACTTGTCTAGTAAGATTGGAACTTATACAGTTGTTTTGAAAGAGGCATATAAAAGGGGACTGTTGATTGAGAGTAATCCATTGATGAATATCCGGAATCGATATCTTCATCTTATGCGCACTGTTAAAGACCATGATAAGGACCTTTCTGTGTCGTCTGGAAGCAGTCGCGAAAAGAAAGCATCTAGCAATGCACCCAGAAAGGAAGCTGCTGCTGATGATAGTGAAGAGGAGAAAAATGGAATTTCAAATGCTTTTTCTGGTTCAGAAACTGAGCCTGGTGATAACAATGATGAAGAGGATCGATTCGAGGGCGGCAGGCAAGCTTCTCGTGAAGCTGTGGCTGTTAGTAATGGAAGAACAACAAGAAGTAAGAGAAGGAATGTGGACTTGAAAGCTCATTTGCGCGATGGTGTAGGTGAAAAAAAAATGAAAAAGAAGCATGGTAGGACTAATCCCAAAGTTCCACTTGAAGCAAATGCTTCTGGTAATGTCCATAGGAGAACTCAACAGAGGTCTTCAAATTCACATCAGAAACAGTAGGCGAATTGTCGGAATTGAATTTTATTTAACCTTTAGGACTGATTTGGTGCTTGCTCTGATTCTTTTGGTATTAATTGTGAGAACTACAGGAAGGTTTTTTGTTGGTATTGAAATGAGTAGACATGATATTTGGAAGTTTTTCTTTGTATTATCAAATTTGCAAGAAGCATATTGTTTGAAAATTCATTCAGTTTTAAGATCAAATTGACCTTTGCTACTTATCCACATTTTAACCCCACGCATGCATTTCTTGAATGTAAATGTAATATGTACAATTCCAGGTGAACAAAGTTCTTTTAGTCCACTTCATCTCCCTTTTGATGAGTTAATGAAAGAAAACGTAGAATTTCGAAAGTCAAATCAACCATGGTTTAGTTGTCTTCCACATTCGATATGATATTGAATTTGGTTAGTCAATTGATGAGGTTCTGTGTATAGCAATTGCATATAGGTTTAATGACAGCAGAAGTAGATGCATACCAAAATGATGGTTAACGGGGGTGGTGTGGGATGCGGTCAGGGAGTAAGACACTGAGGCTTTGGAAATAGTTTTAGTTTAAATATCAAGACCTGGTGATGATGGTAGGTCTTGGCCCTAGCTAGCTGGACTCAGTTGGTCTATGTGGTTTCTGCAGGGATTGGCCAAATAATTGATGTCCATTAGAGTCGAGGTGGTTTGAGTAACCATAATTCTTCTGAAGGCAAAGAAAAGACTAGAGGGTGTCATCGAAGATAAGAGAGGAGATAGGGAGGAAATTAAGCAAGGTAAGTACCAATGTTCAACCCAAGAGATCGGCTATTTATACTTATTTGTTCGAGTGTTGGTGATCAATTAGTCAAAGGTATGGGCAACCTCACCCTAATGGTTAGAGCTAGATGAGTTAGTCTCGGAAGAGCCAAGAGACGGTATCCGTTGCGTTTCCAAGGGGTCATAACTCCGTCGCTAGACTTTACAGATTGGGCAGTGCTCCTCAAGAGGCAGAATTGACTTTGTAAGTGAGGCCATCACAAAGATGAAAAATATGTGGATCAACAATTAGATGAGAAAGGGATGTAATTCCCACCAAGTAATATACATAGTTGTCAACGTTTATTGCCAACCGAAGTCCGAAGCAACCCCCAATTCGCTCATTTCAAACATGCCCCCCCGACTCGCTCATTTCAAACATGCCCGTCCAATTGTCAAAATCATAAACCCATAACCGTACCAACCTTCATTGCTCCTATCCAAAATTAACCCGACACGGTCGTGGGATCGAGTCCCACTAAGGGCAATTCATAACGGAGGTCTTCCACGGAAGCTGCTCTAAACCTGGCGTTGGGAGCAGCCTACTACCCTACCTCCCTCTTATCCCGTTACATATGGGAATAGGGTCATCTTATTTATAACCATAGCAATAAAACACACAAAAATGCAGTATGAATTCCAATAGACCAACATACACTAAACCTTTACGTGTTTTACCAATTCACTGCTTTATGTGTATGTTCACTAAAATTGGTCCTCAAAAAACCAGCAAATGATCCACTTAATCTTCAGCATAATCTCTCTTTTTGGGTTGTATTATACAATAACTTAAAATTTGAACCACAATAAAAGCCTTATTTCTATTCTTCATTGCCTTTTTTTCAGCTTTTTGCTCGGAACACTCTCAACCAAGAATAATAAATTAAAACCGGGATCAACATTTCTCCTCTCCTATGATAAAACGACAAAGGTGAGGGGAATGGTGACGGATGAAGTTACCCCCATCACTTGCTCTCATCCATGGGGTCGTTATGGTTACATGATTGAGGTCTTACATCTTTGTCATCTTGTTGTGTTTCTCTGGACTTGGAGACGGAATCTTCAAGTGCCTCGAGGAAAGATAAAACGGTGAACTTGTCTGCAAGAAAAAGGAATAGGTGGTTATAAATAAGTTAACCATGAAGCACCATCGCATTATCCACTGCATAAATTTACTAGCAAAGGTATATAGTATTGGAACTGCATACTACTCACATTTACTAGGATCGATACCGAACTGAGACAAATCTATCTGTCCAGTTCGAAGTACCTATAACAGAGAGAAAGAAACTTAATGAAATCTGAATAGTATCATGTGAAATTACACACAAATAAAAGGGTGGGTTCTTATTCCTCACATATGTAAATGAATCTACTTGTTGACGGAAAGGAGAGCTCTGCAGCAACTCTAAAAGATCCTCTGGTCTCCACTGACCCTGAAACATCAATAACTTCATATTCCAAGAACATAAACTAAAGGAAGAAAACTGGAGCAATGCACAGCTATTCTATACCTCAGGTAAATATGAAGCTAATTGCTCTTCCAATGACAATGACTCAATCAATGGCAGTAGCAAATCTGGCTTCAAAATATCATCCAACCCCAAGCCTGGTAGGACAAAAAAGGTGGAGAGGTGTAGTGTCGAAGAAAAGGCAAAAAATTATCTAGTTATGCCTCAAACTACCTTCTTTCTAATGTGGTATCAAATGGGAATAGTGGACAGCTGTTGAGAAATAATGGACTTATAAAAAATCTTCAGTACAAGCAAAAAGTTAGATACGACATACTTTGGGGCCAACTTCAAGCAGAAATTGACATTTCAAGGACTGCATATCAGACTACTCTCTTAAAGAAGTGTTACATTAGCAGGCTAAAGTCTTGGATCAAAAGCATAATCACTAGCCTTACACTGATAATATGAATACGAAAAACACTTCACCAAGGAAATACACAAGATTTAAAGTCTTAATCAACTTGGGATGAGGAAGCAAAACCAGTTTCTACTGACATATACCAACCCCATCCCTCTCCCCAAAACAAAAAAGGTGCAAGCAAAAGTTACTTCAAACATCCACAGGAAGTAAACAGCCCAGAAGCTACGAGAACTATAAGCTCAACAGCTTTGACACTAATAGGACAAGATACTATTAAATATGATGAAGAAAAGAAAATCACCTCCATCTGGATCACCAGCTACTGCAACAGAAACAACCACAAAACAACCATGTTAGAGCTCAAAATGATCTAATGCCTAATGCAACAGTAACAAGCATTCTGCAACTAATGAACTGCATACCTGCTGGCCCGATACTGCTCAATATTCTTTTCAAGTCCTGCAATTTAACTGGCCCTAATGAAGATGTTACATCACTAATTGCTTCGGCCCCTAAGTTTGGAACAGACAAGTTCCCAGCTCTGAAAAATTAGGATACAAAAATCGTATGAATCTTGAACAAAAAAATGGGACAATATGATAACCAATCAAGAAATCTTCTGAATAAGATCACTTAAAGGAAACACATTATATCAGATTAGATTGTAAATGTTCCTTCAATTTTCTTTCAAGGAGGTACATACAATGACAGCAAACTACCCAACATATGCTCTTGAGAATATGTATACCGAGGTTGTTGCATGCTTAAAATTTAACTCCAGGAAGTCTAGATGGAATAACACAGTGTGAAATACCTAACTTAATAATGAAAACATTACCCATTGGTTCAACATTGAATCACACACGGCCATCCTAGATCTAGTTATGTCACTAAATTTTTAATAAAATCTGGCTATCGTGGCATGCTATATTAGAGCTCAAACTTCAAATGTTCCTTCAGCCTAAGCCAACCAAGATCTATGAATAAAGGAACCCACGGGTATTTCAATAAAAACAACACCGATATGTTCGATCTTAAAATTGATTCTAAAATCTAAGTCCTCTTAAGATATTTACAGACAATAAAAGCTCTAATTCCCCTAGAACTAATCCAACCACAAATCATAAAAGTAGATTCTTCAATGTGACAAACCTTGTCTTGTTAATACTTTTTTAAATTAGATTCATAACCATTTCAAAACCATTTTGTTGAGTAATTGACAAGGAATAAGGTAGGCTAGACCACAAGACATCTGAAAACAAAGTTCATAACATTTAGCTTTTCAATTTTTAGTTTGCAAAAACAATTTTATTAATAATCTTTTTGCATAGAGGGTATCTTTACAACAATATCTTTACCTTGATGAAATATCATCTTCAACCATGTCTTCAGACACTAGCAAAGCTTCAGAAGCATCAGGCTCTTCTACACCAAGTTCTGTTGAATATAATAATTAAAAAATCGGTTTATGGAAACCGCACCCTTTCCCACCTACATTGAGCAATATATGAAATCCTAGTCCACTAAAAGAGCAATTTTCACAGGTGGGGAAATAGTCTGAAATCTGAAGATGAAGGAAGAGATAAAAAATTAAGTAGAAAGCAAGACCTGATACCTATGCATGCAGGGGTTTCCAATTTCATATAATGAAAAATATTACAAAAGATAAAGTTAGGAGCCAAGGGTGAGAATTAAGGGAAACAAGAAGTAGACTTTGATCAAGAAAGCCATGTTTGATGATGTGGTTAATTACATCGGAGCTGTAATAACCAATACACACACACATAAATTTCTTTATACCTAACGGCTGATTGATGAAATTATTGACTGCGATACATAATTGTGAGTCATCTTCAGCTTTTGGCTCCTGAGAGAATAAGAATAAAACCAACTTATCAATAAATAGCAGACACATAGCTAAACAAGAAGCATATCAACAAACCTAACCTGCATCCAGAAAAAGAACTTCCGGTCATCGGTATTGAACTTTAATAAGTAAACCCTGCCTGATGCTTGATTAACCTGAGTTAAGCAAGTAAAATAATATTCAACATTATTTAAAGGAGCTAACAGATTCCAATTTGACAATTAACCGTTTATGTAGATTTAAATGGTGCAAAAGAAAATTTTATACCTTCTCAAAAACAGCCTCATCAGGAAAAATAATCTGATCCTATAATATGTCATGTCAAGGTAAAAAAAGAGCAGCCACAATAAAAGAAATTAAAAGATACATTATATTAACATCTTTATGAATCACGCAATAATACCAGGGTTAAGTAGGCATATGGAAGGTTAATCACATGTTTGAATATTAACTGTGATAAGCTATTAGAGGACAACTGTTAGAGTACCTAAGATTAAGGACAGAATACTTACCTTAGTCCTAGGAGTTACCTTGTATAGTAGCATCTAATCTTAGTCTCTAATTCTTAGGAAGTTACTGATTTTTAGGGATTGTTTCCTTATTTGTACTTAGTTCTCCTTATACATGCTGTAAATTAATTAATAAAAGGTAACAATCTTCTTTTTAAGTTTGTTCATGATATCAGAGCTTTAATAATTTTTTGATCTTGTCATCTCTAATCTCTCGTCCCAAACGTTCCTCCTCTTTAATCTCTCATGCCTCTTATTTTATTCCTTCCCATGGGTGATACTGTCGAAACTTTATCTGAGACTAAAACCTCACAAATGATTCCAAATATCAATCAAGGAACCCCTCAAGGGAACCTTAATTCCTCTCTTATAATCACTAACCATCGACTAGATGGGAAAAATTTCCTGCAGTGGTCTAAATTAGTCATTATGGTGATTCGTGGTCATGGCAAACTAGGATATATCAATGGAGACATCCCACGACCAGCCACAACAGACCCAATTTATGGCACTTGGGAACTCAACGACTCGATTGTAATGGCTTGGTTAATTAATTCAAAAGAAGTTCATATTAGTCGCACCTACCTCTTCTTCAAAACTGCAAAAGATATGTGGGATGCAATCAAAGAAAACTACTCGGATCTTGGAAATGCCTCCCAAGTATTTGAGATCAAATTGATGTTGAAGGACATCCGACAAGGAACACTTGAAGTAACTCACTACTACAATAATATGAAATTTTTGTGGCAGAAACTATACATGTACTATGAGGCAGACTGGGGAGAAGACGTGAAACACACCAAGTTTGTAACATCCGCGATACCGGGTTAGTGACCAAATTGTAAAGTTTCAGAATTTGGTGACTAAAGTAGAAGAATGAAGAATTCAATGATTATTTGAATATATATATTGAAGGTTATTTGGTAATTATTAAAGGAAATTAAGGGTATTATGGTCATTTGACCAGAAAGATTTTTTATAATTTTTTTTAAGGGGATATATGAGAATCACGTGTGATTTTAGGTTCCAGAACCTCCCATTTCTTCTTCATTCTTCCTTACTTTCTTCTCTTCCTCCTCCAAACGTGGGCTTGCAATTATAGGTAAGAAACTGAACTTGGTAGTTTCTTTGATTGTTAAGATTGGAAATGAAAGCTTGAATGTTATATAAGCTAAAGGAAAGCTTATATGACATTAAAGCAACAAGATAAGTGATTTAGAGAATGATTTGGAAAATGAGTTTTTAGATGAAATTTTGATATGGATGAGTTTTTGATGTTTAAATCAGATTTTTGACTTGTCAAGAAGCTAATTAAGAGGTAGGAAGTGTTAGAATTGGAATTAGAACACATTGGAAATTTAGTATGATTTTTGAATCTTATATGGAAGATAGAATTTTGAGTTTAAAGAAGGGATTATGGAGTAAAAATGAGTTTAAGTATGTGTATGAAAGTTAGGAATATTAAAGGGAATGAAGTATGATGTGTTGAACTGAAAATGAAGGATTTTCGAACTCAAATATGATTTCTGGGCAAGGGGAATCGGTACCCATTCAAGGGGAACCGATACCCCTTCAAACGAACAAGAATTTCCAGTATGTCATAGGGGAACCGATACCCCCATGGGGGGGAACCGATTCCCCCTAAAGGAAAATTGGGAATATGGGTTTAATTAGTTAGTTTAAGTTGCTAGTATCCAATTACAAGGTGTAGGTATCTAATGATGGTCTCGAAATGTACATTTATGTAGATTCTACGCATAAAGAAATTCCGGAACGTTTGGCAAGTAAGATCGATCAAGGGAAAGATAAGAGATTGGAATTGGCTAGTGAGGCCAGGTGAGTGCATATTAGTTAGTTGATGGTGCTAAATGGAAACAAGACTTGCGACAAGTCTATTTCCTATGTTAGAATGCATGAATATATGATTATACGTATATGAATGACATGAATTGTATGTAGGCATGAATATATGTGTTGACATGCTTTTGAATGTAATGTTATGAGAAGTATGTGCTAAATAAGGTATATATATATATATACATATGTGAAACTGAACTATGTGACTGCATGAGAAAGATATAAGCCATATGACATGATATAGGTGAATATGAGAAAGCAAAGTATGAGATATAAACTATGTGATCATAGTAAAATATAATTATATTTTTATATGATAAGTGAAATAAAATGGATAATATTGATCTATAGGAGGAAGTGAAAATAGTACACCAACTAGGGATTTGAACATAAATGATAAGATGAACGTATAAGATAAGCTAGATGGGAAAGATTCATAGGTTTAAATAAAACTATAATACATGGGTTGAATGATGGAAATTTGTGAAGTTATAGGAGAAGATTATAAGAGCTATATGAAATTGAATTAAGTAACAGATTAGATTATATATAGAAATAATAGAAGTGAAATATGTTTATAAGTCTGCCCTAGATGAATACGAAATATAAGAGTGCTATATGATTTATATTAGGATAATCTTGAGGATATATATATAGATAGATATGAAATGAAATGAAATGAGTTATATGAATACCCAATTATGTGATGAAATGGTGAATTACCTGAACATGGGAATATATATATTAAGAGAAGGCATACGATTAAGATATAAGCAATGTGACTATAAATATGTGCTTTAAGTGATATGACTTATAAGTATTTCTATTATAATGTTACATGATATGTTATGTATGTTAAAGGAATTATGTGATGGTATAAGAATTGATAGGAAATATATATGTGAAAACAAGTATATGTTACGAGACAAAACTTATGACTATAAGCTACGGGAAAGTGTTCTAGGTGTTTCGATATATTATATGAAGTATATGATCTTATGTGAACAAGACATGATAAGTATGTTTATATGAATAAAGGTGATTGGGTGAGAAATGATAGAAATTATATGAAAACATGACATATGTGACATGTGAATTATATGGAAATGATCTACGGGTAAGTGAACTACGTGACTATGTGATCATATGAAAAGAAGCTATGTGATACGTGATATGTGAAAGTGAATTACAAGTTTATGTGTATATTTGAAATGAAATAAATGATAACGCCCATGTTATGTGTCATGAGAGCTAGGGGTATAGTTGGCATGCCAAGAGTCGAGGGTTTATTCGGTTCTTTAGGACATATGTATATCCTTTGGAACCTGTGTGAAGTCTTGAAAGACACATACTTGATCCATAGTATATGTATATGATTCTTAAGGAATTCTACGTGGTCCTTATGGACATCATTCTACGGGCACTACGGTGCAATTCTACGGGCACTACGGTGCAATTCTACGGGCACTTCGGTGCAATTCTACGGGCACTTCGGTGCATTTATACGAGCTGTGGTGACAGCATAGTGCACAACCTCTATAGACTCACATATCGATAGTTCTCACATATGTACATGGGCTAATCCAGAGATATAAACAAATATAAGTTATTGGTATGATAAATGCTATAGAAATGATATGATGTTGTGTGTGTATAGTGTTTGATTGAAATAGTATGTGATTATATGATAAACTGTTAATGATGAATTATGTGTATGCATGTATTTACTGCAATTAATCTGATCTGATTTTATACGATATGAAAAATGCATGAACTTGCTGTAACATGATAGAACAAAACATGCATGTATCAATATAGATTTTAAAGTGCATTATAAGTTGTTATGCCTCACTAAGTCTTCGACTTAGCGTGTGATTGTTTCACACGTAGGTTTCGAGAAGAGTAAGGAGTGATGCGGAGCAAGACAGGTCAGTTTCCTTACCAAAAGATCAGATCAGAAATATTTGACAAAGTATGTTTTGGTTATGTATAAAGTGTTGGCATGTAATAAGTCATTAAGTACGAGCACTCTGATAAAGTCTGTATTTTGTTTTAAATAAAGTTTTAAATTTCCCGGGATTTTTCTTAAGAGTCAAGGTTTGAAAAGTCAATGTGACACTTCGGACTCGTATCCGGGTCGGATACGGGTTGGGGGTGTTACATTTAATGGTATCAGAGCTATGGTTTAGCCGATTCTCGGCATAAACCGAAGTCCAAAAGGTCATAAAAGGTGTACATGCCAACATAGATTGAAAAATTTCTGATCTGATAGTGTAAGGAATACGTTGTCTTGCTAATAAAATAAGAATAGTTTAATACAGTAGAAATCCGATCGTGATAATTTCGAAGTAAGTGAAAGGTGATATTCCTGATGGTGATAGCCATTCACTTGCCCTGGCCAGGCAGGATGAAGAGCGGACACCTCAGGAAATGCCTAGTAAGATCAAAAGTTGATTTCAGAAAGCTGAAATCATATCTGAATAATGATAGAATATGGTGAACGGGTGTTACATTTAACACCATAAGAATGTTAAAAAGATCTAATGACGTGATGATTACGTATAGAAGAACTCAAGGATAAGTGCATCAGTGACGAGCGTATAAGATGTATATGTCAGAGCTTATGAGTTTGGAACGAAGTGATAATATTGCGCATAAACAAGAGTATGTTTATGATAAGGGTTTGCGGTTAAGATGGAAAGAGTTAGCCTTGGCTAACTAGAGTATGTGATAAAAATGTACTGGAATTATAAGATTATAAAATATTGTCTGGATATGATAACCAGATTTGCAATGGATCTGGATACAGTTGCATATTTGGATCATAATAATGAGGTATAGTAAAGGAAAAGGAAGTAAGAATTTGTATATTTAAGTAAAGCTGAGGATTGATAAGAAGAGTTTGAGAATGTGTATATCGATGATCAAATTATAGGACAC